CCTGTTCTCTATGAAGTCAGAACAACGACTGTGAGTGTTGGGAAAAAACTCTAGTGATATTCATTTAGTTTCATTTCATCAAAAAATTATCAATCCCGCTCTTAATGAATGACACAACAAATGCGTGTTTTGTAATCCATTAACAGGGTTTCACTAAAAGAGTACACCATTTTAATGGCCAGAAGCTCGAAACCCGATTCAGAAGAGTATTATCCAAAATACTTAAACCTGTTCACCGATTAGAAAAATGTGCATCCATAATACCGAATGTTTGCCCCTGCCAGCCCATAAACGTCATAACATCTGAACCCTATTCAACAAATCACAATGACAGTGCAAGATCCACGACGAAACCACTGATTCATATAAATCACCAGTACTTTCCTCTATCCAATTACATTTCCACGTTTCTACGAACGAAATTTATCGGTCACGCTCATTTAAAAACATCGTTTCAGAGTTATTAGTGGGATTAACTTAATTTATTCGGAAATATAATCGGATATTATAACATCCACTGTCCGCTTACGGAGATATGAAATATACCACGGATTGACTCTCTGACAGCTCACTAGCAGTAATTACAACTGCATTTTTAGAGCGGAGAAGAGGGGAAAATTGAATCTATAGTGAAGTGACAAATATTTTTATCAGGTTATACTTGTTTTTTCTAGAAAGGTTTGTTGGGCAACAAGATCAAAGTTATTCAGAACAAAAACCGTTTTTCATCGACACTTCAGGACTCTGTAACAATGAGTTTTATTCAATATACCTACGTCAAACTTCATAATTGTTGTCATTGATTGCGCACGGCTGTTGTAAACCTCAAAGTAGGAATGTGTCATCTGAGGCTGAGCCTATGGCGAGAAGCGCTTATTGCGCAACCTCTGCTGCAGGCAGCCAGTGATGCAATTGAACCCAGGTTTGTCTTCAATAAACCCTACAAAATACGAATAAAACAGCACACAGAATCAGATGCTACAAGTGCAATACGCATATCTACAGACGGTTCAAAAACCAAAGAAGGCTCAAGATGTGGAGTGTACTCCAGATCACTAAGCCTAAGGATTAAGTGGGGAATAGGAGAAAATATCAGCTTGGTTCGAACAGAACTGGCAGATATCTCAATCGCCACAAAAGAAATAACCAGGAAAGGAATTTCTGGCAGAAACATAACAATCTGCACTGATAGCAGACAAGCCCTAGTAGCTTTGAACAGACAACGTTTTACCTCGGGGCTAGTACTAGAGTGCCACCAAGATTTAGCCGAAGCCTCGGTGGATAATAACATTATCCTGAGGAGAGTTAAAGGACACGACAGGAGTAAAGGTAATTGCATTGCCAAGGATGTGACTGGACTAAGAATTTTAGGACCCACTTGCACCTACGGCCTGATGACTTCGACAATTGCGAAACTAGCCAAACGTCACATCCATGCTCAATCCCAGGGATGGAATCAAAGGATACCAGTATCACCCTGGACGACCCTGGGAAGCTGACGTCAAAGAAATATCTGGCGATGACTAGGAAAAATCTACGTTAACAGTAGAATTTCTGATCGGCCACTGTCCACTAAGGAAACACCTCCATGATATGGGGCTAGCAGACAAGGAGGATGTGTAAATAGGAAGATGAAACTCTCAGGCTTGTCCTATTCGAGTATCCGGAGTTATCATCAATAAGAGAGTGTGTGTTTGGCGAGTCTTGGCCTACACCTGCCGATATAAAGGAGATGTCTCCTAGTGACCTCTACACCTTCCTTTAAAGAACAGGCTCGGGAGGATGTACAATGGGTCACATGTGGCCCAAGTGCTGTGGTCCTACACTCATTCTCCCTACTCTACAGATACTGTTATCATTTTTGAATGTTATAACACGTAAAAATGAAATTATAATACAATTACTCACCGTAAGGAAGATTTTCCATGTCAGAACGGTAACTGAATGTGTGCTAGAGTAGTGCGATGTCTTCGTAGTGCATAAACAATCACTGTTTTTGCTTGTATGATATAACTGGATTATTTTTAGCTTGCCCTGCTTGACAAGTTCTTGGATAGTAATTTCAACCCGAATGTGGATGGGCCCGCCCCAGGCCCGCTTAAATCTGGCCACATTTGCCTTTAACATCAACGTTCGTTACCAACTGGCCGATTAGCCTCAGTTGCGGATGCCATTAAATCGAAAAGAAGAAGAAGAAGATATGTGCCAGAGTACCGAGTTATATGACCGTGGTCTACAGGTTTCGATACTTGACGTTCTTTTGCATACTACTGTGGTAAACATTATCAGAGGTGATGATCTAAAGGTCGAAGAACTCAAGTAGTTCTCAACGCAGAAACTACAAAGCTGTTTTTTATTATTATAGGTTGACCTAGCTTTGTTTTCTCTGATTAGGTTACCTGATCATGTATCAATGGATGTAGCTGTTACTACGTGGTAGAAGATCAACATGAAAAATGGTAAATAAAACTTTCTATGTTTTTTACGCCTTGTATTTGTAACTAACGTTACTTTAGCTCCGTTATATAAGAACATTTTTGAACAAATACAGTAAACTGAAAATAATTGATAAGGTTAGCCCTCATATATCTAAACACCACCGTAGGTAATGAAAAAAGTATATTCAATTGTGTTAGTACCTCTATTATTACCCACAGTAGCACAGTGATGATTCATCACTAAAAATTAGAAACCATATCGGACCCATATTGGATCCTTGTGGTACCTCTGGAGAGATTTAAAAAGTGCTATCATATTTAACTCTGCCAACTCTGCCAATGTGATGGTGACTTCTATCGAAGTCAACGTGACCTTGAGAGGCAAGTCTTAGGTTTTTTCAAAAGATTTGTCCGTTTCAATGTCATGTGTTTTCGTAGCTCCGTATCACAATGGATATTTATTCCACTGTATCGTGATCAATTAAGAATTATTATGACTCAATTTTACTAGATTGTTCAACTCTTTCTATGAGAGTATACACTGTATACAGTTCTTAAGAGCGAAATTATTATTATCGAGGTAGATCACTTATCGAGCCGTTGACAACCGATTCAAAAAGGTATCTGTTCACTTCTCTGCAAGCCAGCCTTCTCCCAACATGGAACGCACAGTCGTTCTCACGATAATGAGAGAAAAAAAAATATGGGAAAAATAATCAGACAAACACAATATCTCTTAATTATATGAACACAAAAAAAAATGGAGGTGAAGACGGAACACCTTGTATTTGTAACTTACGTTACTTCAGTTCCGTTATATAAGAACATTTTTGAACAAATACAGTAAACTGAAAATATATGATAACGTTAGCCCTCATATATCTAAACACCACCGTAGGTAATGAAAAAGTATATTCAATTGTGTTAGTACCTCTATTATTACCCACAGTAGCACAGTGATGATTTATCACTAAAAATTAGAAACCATATCGGACCCATATTGGATCCTTGTGGTACCTCTGGAGAGATTTAAAAAGTGCTATCATATCTAACTCTGCCAACTCTGCCAATGTGATGGTGATTTCTATCGAAGTCAACATGACCTTGAGAGTCAAGTCTTAGGTTTTTTCAAAAGATTTGTCCGTTTCAATGTCATGTGTTTTCGTAGCTCCGTATCACAATGAATATTTATTCCACTGTATCGTGATCAATTGAGAATTATTATGACTCAATTTTACTAGATTGTTCAACTCTTTCTGTAAGAGTATACACTGTATACAGTTCTTTACCGTTTTCCGTAATTTTAAAAACCCTGAAATCTTCTGCAAAAAGTATAAAGATCATCAATGAACACGGTAAACAAATAAGGTCCCAAATTAAAGCCCTGTGAAACTCCTGAAGTTATAAGGAAACTCAGAGATATCGTTTGATTGTGTTCAATCGTAATGCATTTCTTTTGTAGGTAATTTGATAATGACTGTAATATCTCTTCTATTATTCCATACTTTCCTAATTTATATAATAAAATATCGCGAACTACTTCATCAAACGCTCTTCTGAAATTAGTGTAATCTTTATTATACGGGAAAAAGGCCCAAATCTTAGTTGCAAACTGAAATATGACTGTATAAAGAACAATAACAGGAACTCAGCGTCAAAAATTAACATTTGAACGTTATTATTATTATATTTATCACTCAACCTAGTTGATTTTGTCGCGGTCACGTTTCGGTTATTGAATGTTTACAAATCGTAATCTCAAACTATATTTATTGACTCAGAATCCATATTTATTTCAATGTTTTCATTTACTTCATGTAGATTGGAATTGATACTCTGCGTTCCAGTGAGATTCAGAAATTCAATTCCATTTCCTGTGATCGTTGCCCAACCGTTGCCTTTTTTTTTATTGTTGTTTCTTGGACCAACAATAAAAGCCTTATCATCATTATTATTATCATTATTGAATATTTTGTTGCGGAATACATCTGATTCCATAACATCATTTTCATCATCAAAAACTAATACTCACCATCACAAAACGAAAGTTTATCGTTATATATTCAATCAAATGTTGGTTAACTTGTCATGACAAAACAGACACAGTTTAAAGTTTACAGGAAATTCAGTAGGTAATGGGTAGAACAACATACCAAGCCATTGTCTGGTCCTCTCGTTTCCCACACCTAACACCGCTGGAATTTTCTTCTAGAGATATTACAAACAAAATATTCACAAAGATGGGGTTTTTATTAGAATTGAAGGGAGTGTCTAAAATATCCTTCATTCTTTCTGCTTTTCAGGATGGTTCTGTTAATCAAATACCACGATAGCGATGAATCCACAAATGTGTCTGTTCACAAGTATTCATAATTTCTCTGTGACATCATTGTATTTTTTGTTAATAGTGATATCAATATCGTTGCTTACTTAATAATGCAAATTGCCGTAAGGCAAGTGAAACCGCTGTTATTAACGCTGCAATCCGATTGATTCATAGATATAGAAATGGATAATTATTTGTTCGACGATACTCATTAACTAATGTGTCTCCCACAGCGCTGAGCCATGTTCATTTTCAGAAAGTCATTGTGTTTATGAGGTTTTTACATCTTCAACGTCACAGGAAATTTCGGTTTTACTCTACTACGAATTGTTTGGGTTAACATCTTCTGAAAGATAAATGCTGATAATAAATATGGAAGAATTTGGTTGTTTCTCTCAGTTGCTCATCGAATCTCGTTGGTAGTTGATGAAAGTGTTGTTTGTTGAGTTAATTGCATCATCAATTGTTATAATGGTGAGTTTTAGCTATTGTGAATAATTACATTTTGGGATCATACATATATTGTTTCATGATAATGCAAATTTGAATTTGAGAAATTGGTATGTCACAGAATCAAATATTTTTCAAATATTCACTAGCAATTGGACAAAAACATTCTCAATTTAGTGTTCATAATTTCATTGTCAAAGTTGTAATGATTGAATGAAAATCACAAAAGAATTATTGGACAATTTCTGCAGGGTGGAGAGTTTCAAATGTCCCATTTTATACGAAAAAATCAATACTTTTTGATATGTTGTGGAAAAGCTATAATAATTCAAGTTTTATTAGGATATAGTTCAAATATTTAGGTTTTCATGGAGTCTTTATTGTATTTCATTCTCATACTTATTTACTTTTGATACATTCTGCAAATCAGAATGGTTGGTTTATAACTAGTTTTTGTCACAATAACATGTAATTTTTAGTGTGACTTTCAGAAAAATGGCAATTTTGACTTTGAATTGCTTATTTCTGTGTTATTTAACTGAAACTGTCATTTATTCTTGATAGAAATGATTCAATTCCAAATGATAGGTTATTAAATGAAATTATCAGCTAGAAGATCGATAATTTAGGTTCAGAAACCTAGTTTTATCTCAACAAACAAGTAAATATATTGAAATCAGTCCAAATTCAATTTAAGTTACTCGGAGATCTCACTTTTGTATCAACCTCAATTATACAGGCTGATTCACGGTGGATGGCACATTAGACGTTTCTGGTGAACCAGACAACGGATCACTTTGAAAATTTAATGGAGGGCATATTCGGACATTCTCTAGCCAACTAAAATATTTTCGACNGTTATAGCCAATTCATAATAAGAAGCATTCTAAATGCATACCTATTGAGAAACAATTAATATTTCTGATATCACATTTAGTAAAAAATATATTATAATTACGTGTGAAAATTATTATTACAAATGATCAGCCCGAGATTGAAACCAGGACCATCGATACGTTTTGATAACTACTTCAATAAAGGTGGGGTGAGTGATATTTGAGTTTCAAATATCCTTATTCTCTCATTGAGTAAGACTGCTGCCTTGGGCTACTTACCCAACAAGAAACGTTCATATATTGATGTTTTTGTAAATAGTCATTGAAAAAGTATAATTTGTACCAATTTTCGTCTCCATGCAAGTATCTATGTCAATCTTAATCACCATCATCCCCAATATTTCAACATTTCCAATATCAAAAAGAAATAAAAATGTAAAATAATAATAACTCAGTGATAACTAGAGACGGAAGATATATTTTGTTATTCCAAATCGTGTCTCTCTCAAACAAGAAATAACTCATTATTCATAATAATGTCTTTGTTACAGAAATCTGTGGTACTTCTCTGCACCATCCTTGCTGCAGTCTCAGCACAAAGACCCTCCTTCGCAGGATCGCGGCCTATTGGAGTACCAGATGTAGCTTCTAGATTCAAAGACACGGAAAGCTCTGGCTCAGCAGGTACCCAATTACCGAATAGATTCAACACAGGCGCTGAAACCACATCGTCAAGCCTACCGATAGAGCGACAATGGCAACAGTATTGGCCTAGAGAGAACCAGCCTTTTTCTGTGGTCAATGAAGAACACATCAGAAGGCAGCTATATCCCACTGGAGCGAAGAGAATCAGTGCCCAGGATGTATCTACAAACTCTTTGGGACAGAACCCTACCGTTAATAACAGAGGATCTTTCAATGTAGCCAATGAAGACTCTCCAGACAAGTTCACAGTTTTTAAGAATAACCAGTTGGTGACTTATGTTCATGACCCATTATCTGACACCTGGTATTCTAGGAAGAACTGATTTGAGTTGTGGTTTAGAGCGATGGAAAAGACAAGTCTGCTTATTTATACGATTATTTCAATAAAGTTGAGTATTTTGTTGTTTTACATTATTTTTCAACTCAATTTTCGTTCATCCTTCATTTTTGGCTGTACATTGGTTTTCCACTGTAAAAACCAGAATTAAGAAAACAAAGTACACTTAAAACACGGAATGGAACAACAGAACCCTGATGATGAATTCAATAAATTCTGAAAGATACGCGAAAAAAGTGTTTTAAAGAAATCTATTTTAATTGATCTGTACCACGATCAATATTTCTGTGTGAAATTTGTGAATCATCAGAACACAACACCAGGAATTACCTATAGTCCGTTCATAATTTGTTGATAGCTCACTGCAAGTTTGTCCCTCATTAGAAAACTGAAATACAGAGAGGACAGCTAATATGATATAATAACAAAAACCAAACTAAAACTGGCAGTTTAAGATGTTTTCGACTAACCCACCTTGTATCTGAAGAAATACAATACAGCTATAAAACTTTTAATCCGATTATGTAGGTATTTTGAGTGGAAATGAGTGACCAGTGTCGTAGAGTATATGATTAAAACATTAGTTACTTTAAATAAATAAATATATTAATATTCTTAAACTGTAGGTACTGTAAACTGTATTTTTATTT